CCCATGCACAAGCAGGAGGAGCCACTCCTTTTTTTTTCCACAGAAAAAGCGGTCTTTTCTGCCAGAATACCAAACCATTCCTGAAATCTGGGCTCTGTCATGGAAAACTCGAGTTCCCGTGTCGTGACAAGTCCCCTTTTCTCAGAATTTTGGAATCTCCACTGTGATGCTGGTTCTTTTACACCAACTGTTCACCCCCACCCCCGGGGGTCGGGCTGGGACATGAGCTTTGGTGGGCTGGTGCTGACCCATTCCTGAGGAATCTCACCAGCCAAGTTCTTTCCTCCAAGGTCAGGGCATGAGTCTGGCTTTGCTCACACCTCCGTTGCGTCCTTCAGGACGCGTCAAGATTCCTCCTTACGAATCTCGCCCTGATAAGTCCTGATGACTAAATAAATCTGGTTTGCAGATAAGACCCCGTGGATGTTCTCTGTTCCTCCGTCCTGGAAATGAGGATGAAACGCACTACTCTGGCTTCCTAGCAAGACCTGACATCACTCTCAATCCAATCTGTCACGTTCCGGAAACCAGGTTCCAGACCTCTCCATTTGTATCTCCTACGATATCATTTCTTGTGTTCTGAAGTCGGCTTCCTCACTACAGGAAAATGTGGAAACCCTGAAAAAAAACATGGGGAAGATTCTCAAAATCCACAGACAACCTTTTTGACACGTTCCCACCTTGAGAGGGTCACCATAATAGTGTTCAAATGACACACATTCATTCTCTCACTGTCCTGGAGTCTGCAAGTCTGAGATTCAGGCAGGACTGATGTTTGTTCCTCCTAAGGCCTCTCTCCTTGCCGTGGAGACCCCGTGTTCTCCCTGTGTCCACATGTGGTCGTCCCTCTGGGCGTGTCTGTGTCCTCATCCCCTCTTATTCTAAGGATCCCAGTTCCATGGGTTCAGGGCCTATCCTGCTGCCCTCGTTTTACCTTAGCCCCCTTTAAAGAGCCCATTTCTGGGGCGCCTGGGTGGCTCAGTGGGTTAAAGCCTCTGCCTTCAGCTCAGGTCATGATCCCAGGGTCCTGGGATCGAGCCCCACATCGGGGTCTCTGTTCAGCGGGGAGCCTGCTCCCCCCCCACCCCCTGCCTCTCTGCCTACTTGTGATCTCTGTCTGTCAAATAAATAAATAAAATCTTTAAAAAAAATAAAAATAAAGAGCCCATCTCTGAATATAGTCCCATTCCAAGGTCCCGGGGAGGCGTCAACCTGCAAATTTTGGGGGACACTATTCAGGCCCTAAGCAGGGCTAACCTTGATCAAAAAGCCGTTGCTATTCTCCAAAATTTAATCTTGAAAAACAAATTTACAGATATAAAAGGAAGAGAGCGAAATGCGTGATGGCTTCTAACACGGTAATACTTCCCCTAACGGACATAACCACCGAAAGCGTGTAAGAATTCTCTCCTCCCTGCAAACTAGCTCATCTTTCTAAAGTCAGCTGGATTTAAAAAAACAACAAACAGCGACCACTTTTGTTCTTTGATACATTTCTTTGGTTGTTACTTATTAGCAACATTTTTTGTTTCCTCCCTATGTCAATGACCCTCAGTATGAGTTTTCTGGGAAGGGCATTAATGCCCTTTGACCAGATATCCGTTTGGTTTTATGTACCATGAATGCTTCCCATCAATGCATTTTAACTCTGTTTATGTTTCCATAACTTTCTCACATTTTTGAGTGGTCGGTTCTATTCATCTATTTACCCCTGTGCTTCTATTTCTGATGAGTTTAGAACATCCTTCCACGATCATGTGGGGATTTGAAAGCTGGCCCCAGGATTTTCTTCTGCTTTCGTTGTTTGGATTTTACCTCCCCTCGACACCTAATATTCCTGGAATTTATTTTAGTTTTCTCTTCTCCTGACGCCTTCCAGGTATTTTTAGAGACCAAACAAGGAGAGCATCTAAGTAGCATTTAATCCCAAACAAGGTAACAGTTTGATATTCGTGTATCCTTTACGATGGCTGGAGAAACAGGATTGGAGACGATTTTTCTCTTGTTACTTTGTCAGACTGTTGATTCCTTGGAAGTCAGGGCTCCATGCATGAAAAAGCACGTCCTTCCGCCTTCGGGATGTGTCCCGATTTTCAAGCTTTAATCTGGAGAGACGGAGCGCCTCAGGGTTCTGCTTGAGTTTATCGATTCATGACTCACTAATGTTACTGAAATCTGCAATTATTTGAGGACTCCTGTTTCCACCCTGCGATGACTTCATTGCTCTGAGCCCATCTGGAATTCATGACCTGGCCACCCAGGGAACCCTGTGTGGTGTCTTCACGATGAAGACGGCCTTTGCCTCCCTGGACAGGGCATTTTGAGGTCAGCTTCACCTGGTTTGAACACATGGGCTGGGTTCTTTATTGGGGTCTTTTTTTGGGAGGGGGTGGATGAGGACATCTGTAAAATAAATGAGGTTGAAGCGGTTTGGAAAATGGGTTCCATTTGCATGAAAATAGGGCACCTGGGTGCCCACACAGGACGATCTGCACTGGGGTGGCTAGGCAGGGCTCACACTGGAGCAAGGCTTGGATTCCTGTGGCTACGCATATAATTATAAAAGAAGTTTCATCACCTCTGATGACTCATGATGGGCCTGGCTGCATCTGCGAAGCCCCAGGGCCCAGCATTGTCACAACGTAACCCACAAACTAGGTTACCATGAGTTCCCAACACATTCAACCCACGCAGACCCCCCGCAGGGCTGACCTGCAGGACAAAATGAGAACCAAAAGCCTGCACAGCTAGAACAGTGAGTGCTGCCCCAACTTGGGATCACTCCTCACTGAGAAAACGTTCATCGGCAATCGACCAGAACATCCAAGACCCATTAACTGCCCTTGCAACAGCAGGTCTGAGAAACGGGGAGCCAATACACCGACCACGGAAAGCCACTCTGTTCTATTCCTGCTGCACAGGGGGCACCCGGTGGAGGCCCTTGTCTGCCTTAGGGGTAGAGCTAATGAGTGGAGTCTAAAACCCTAATCCTGCCGAAATTTTCTGCCTGCCTACGAAGACCAAATCCTAAGCAGACAGATCTTCTGGCATCCAGGATAACAACCCCGGCTGAGTCCGGATTCAATGCACGGTTGTAATGTTTCGTAGGATCGCTTTCCAGGAGCCCTGGGTAGGCCTCTTTTAACAAATACTGAAACTATCACTATGTTTCCAAAGTATGCGTTTATCTGACTGAGTGGCCATACGCAGGGATCTACCAAACTCAAAATATACAGGGACGCATGGGTCGGTTAAGCGTCTGCCTTTGGCTCAGGTCATGATCCCAGGGTCTTGGGATCGAGTCCCGTGTCCGCCTCCCTACTCAGTGGGGAGCCTGCTTCTCCCTCTCCCTCTGGTCCTCCCCCTGCTCGTGTTCTCTCATAAATAAATAAAACCTTTAAAAAATATATATGAGTTTACTTTTTCATAATATAAGTTTATAATATATTTATAATTATATATAATATTAACATAATATATATAATAAAAATATAAGTTTATAAGTATAAACTTATAAATTGTAGTGTCTGTAAAGACAGCTGAATATGTCTTTTAGGACACATGCTTTAGGACGCCTGGGTGGCTCAGTTGGTTGGACGACTGCCTTCGGCTCAGGTCATGATCCCAGAGTCCCGGAGTCGAGTCCCGCATCGGGCTCCCAGCTCCATGGGGAGTCTGCTTCTCCCTCTGACCTTCTCCTCGCTCCTCGCTCATGCTCTCTCCCACTGTCTCTCTCTCTCAAATAAATAAATAAAATCTTTCAAAAAAAAAGAATTTATAATAAAATATATTAGAATATACATTACAGAATGTTAGAATATACTATACCATATATGTCTAATATTATCTATATAAGTTGTAAAGTCTGAAGGCAGCTGAACACGTCTTTTAGGATATGCAAGTGAGAATTTATAATAAAACAAAATAAAATATATAATAGAATATATTAGACTATATTATAGAATGCCACAATATATAATATGTATCATTTTCTGTATCTCTATGTTGCAAAGTCTGTGAAGGCAGGTGCACATGTGTTTTAGAATATAGAGAATAAAATATATTAGAGTAGATATTCTAGGATACAGTAGAACATAATGTATATGATATATAATATAATTTGTATACATTGTAAAGCCTGTGAAGGGAACAGTATACTCTTTAATATGTATACTCTTTATATATGTAACTATATACAATATATATTTTTATATATGCATCTATATACATGTATCTACGTATAATATATATTTTTATATATGCATGTGTGTGTATTTACATATGTATGTATTTCTATGTTGGATGTACATATGTATTTGTGCATACAACACACACACACATGCATATATACAAACACATAAATATTTATCCCAAATGAGGAATACATACATATTCCAGCTGCCTTAACCGACCACAGCTTTCTTTCTCTCGTGCTCATGGGCACCTGCACAGGTGAGGCTGCTGACCTTCCGGTCCCCTC